GCCACCGTCTCACCGTGCTGCCGCCAGGTGAACTCACGGATTGCTAAATCTGTTGGGGAGTGATTGCTGAGTGATTTGCAGCCAGGAAAACTATTCGGGGAAGATTGGAAGGTTGATTTCTACAAAGAGTCTTTGTATCTTGGGATGTTGTATTTAAATGTTTGTCCTTTCCAACTTCATTTTCTTACTCCTTCCAAGAGAGATTTCTTACCGATCTACGTGGTGCATATTAAACATGTGTTTAATAAACTCTTTTGTACTAATCTGGATGAATTTACTGGCAGTAATGGATGTGATGGTGATCGCTTTCACTGCTCAGTCTTTTGTGCCTTTTAATATTGGGAAAATGCCAATGTTGAATCAGTCAGGATTTTTTTAATGCAATTTATTGCTGTCTGGCTTTTATATGAACTTACAGGATGTTTGATTCTCATATGTACTGTATTTTTCCTTTTTAGTAAATTAACTAGCTGATTTATGACTTTTTTTGGAGTTCTGTGTGTCAAGATGTTTCTAAATCCTATTGTCAAACCTGTTGTTTTTGTTTAAAAAAAAAGTGTGAAGATTTTGTTTAAAGTGCTTTTTGTTTGCTTGTGTAAGTTAAGCCTGTCCCTCAAATGCTGAACTGAAAGGTGGAAGTAGCTGCAGCGGTGCCTGCAGTGTGGGCGCTGCCTGCCTCGGCCTGGGAGAGGCACTGAGCATCAAGGCCTCCCTCACTTCTCTTGGCGAGCTGGGGACAGCACTTGGGAGTCACCAGGAGCTCTGGGGTGTTTGGTGTTCGTTTGTCCTGAGCGTTCCTCGGCAGTCTCTCCAGCCCCAACCAGCCTTGCAGGCAAAATGCAAAACCCAATTACTGTGATACTTCGAGTAAACCAAATTCGGGATGAGAATAGAGCAGGGTTATCACCTGTGTTTGAATCTCTGCTTTTCTGAGCAAAGATTTGCTGAACACTTCACTAAGCCAAGCAGAGCAAAATCTCTCCTTGATGCTCTTTCTTTTTCTTTAAATTTCCTTTTCCTGGCCTTTATTTTTCCTTCTTCAAAACTCAGCATCTGCTTAGCTCTCTGCCTTCACCGAGGATTTCTGAGGAAACTTTATGCATTTCCAGGACCCAAAAAGAGACTCCTCCAGGTCTTTGGTCTTCCTAGTGGTGTCTAGGGTGGGATCTGGCAGCATTTTCTGGCACAGCATCAGCAGTGCATGGCTATATCCTACACAGCACACTCCAGCGTCGGGTCCTGCACATGGTTATGACAGAGTTCATTGCTTCATGTTGTTGTCACCTAAATTTTCCTGGTCTCTGTCTTGAATAATGTGTTCTGGTAAGTTGTGAAGTGAGGTGTGCTTTGGGGGGTTTGTGTACAGAAAGAGGAAGGGAAAAAGGAGGAGGCAACCCAGGAGGATGGAGTTGGCTGCTGGTGAAGCACAGGAAAATTGAGGCTAAAATTGGTTTGGTGTGGACCATGGGCTGGGAAGGGGGGAATGGCAAAGGGATTTATTTTCTTCACTAGGAGTGTCTAGTGAATGTTGTAGTGGCTTTGAAATAGATACCCAGGAAAGCAGGAGGTGACAGAACTGTGGTTAAACTTTGGCTGGTTTAAATAGAAAAGGGAGAGTATTTGGGGATATCAAGGAGCAATTCTCCTTCAGAAAGGAAATTCATGGGCTTTCCTGAATTTCCAGCCATCTCTAGTGCTCATTCTCATACAGTGTTTGGGTAGGAGTGGTGTCTACCTGACAATCATGAAGTAAACCTGTGTGATTCTGTTTAATAAATGATTGATTTAAAAACTCTTGGCCCTTCCCATTCCTTCAGATTGGAGGAACTTAACTTTTCACAGGCCCATGGTGACTGGGCGAAAGGATGATGCCCGTGAGAGGTGTCTGGAAGAGAAGGAATGCAGAGGTTCTCTGCTCAGCTGCCTTTTCCAGGCAGCTGGTATGAAAGTCGACAAATGCTGATCTAATTCAATCCCTGCACTCCTGGCAGGAGCAGCCACAGCTGGGCTGCTCTTCCCAGATGTGTCTGTGCCTGCTGCTAAAGGACAGAGGTAACTGCAGAAACCCAGAACTATGGATTCTTACGTGTGTGTAATTTTAAATCACTCCAGCAATTCCTGTGCTTCATCCTGCATGTGATCCTGCTTTCCACCACCATTCAGCTAGAGAGTTTTACCTCTGCACTTCAAATGCTTGGAGGCCTGAGGGGCAGAGATGTGGCAGTGTGGGGTGCGTGGTGCTGAGCTGGAGCTCTGTGCACACGACAAACCCTGTCCTTGGTGGGGATGCGGAGGAGGAATGCTGAGCTGCTCTCCCTCTGCTGGTGCGGATATGCCACACTGCAAGTCACTGCTTCAATCTCTGCTCTCTGGGGATGGAGTCTCTCCTCGGTGCACCTGTAGGGCAGTTGGCCCTTTCCCCTGCGCTGCTTCAAGGAGGCTCTTTGTGCAGGCACAGCTCCCTTGTCCTCCACAGCTATTGCCATCTGCTCATGAGGCACAGAGGGACACTCCAGGTATGGTCACAACTTCACCTGGAAAACCAGACTCGGAGGTGGGATGAGCTAATTTCCTCCTGATGGGGAAAAAATCATCTAGCTAAAAGTTGTTTTGCAAATCTGTGTTCCTAAAGCCTTTTTCTTCCTAGGACTTTCCAGAGCTCCTGACTTTTCTGCACCAGCTGATTATTCAGTGGTTCTTGTGTGTGCTCAGGAGTTGCTTTTTGGTAAGAAATAATGTGGTGGGTGTTCAGATGCAGAGGGCAGGTGCTCCCACTTGCTGGAATGCTGTGGTCTCTGCTGGGCCAGGGAGATAAGCTTGACCCTGAGGACACAGTGGCAGGTGGAGTTGCTTTGGGTTTGCCTCCTCATTTGGGGGAGTGGGAAGAGAGTGCAGCAGCTCTATCTGTGGTAGGGAGAGCAGTGCTGCTGTTTATCTTGCCAAAATTATGTTCAGTCCATTATGCTGCTTAAAACTGACTCAGCTCCAGTGTCTTTTTGCACTTGGGATGGAAGTACTGCTTGTGTCTGGATTCAGCTCCTGGCCCAAAGTCTGACTCTGCAGCTCTAGGGGATAAAGTTTTGCCTTGCAGCAGAGGTAAGAGTCCTCAGCAAAGGGAGCTGGTAAATCCCCTTAGGAAAGTGGGAGTCTTGTCCATTTCCAGCATGCTCCTTTGAGGATGGTGCTTCTTTTCCATGGAAAGTTTTGTCCTCAATGAGAGCTGCCAGCCTGGAAAGGAGAGCGGGAGAGGAACTGTTCTGCCTGGGATGTGCACACCAGGGCAAAACTGCCTCACACTTCTGGGCATTGGGTACTGGTTTGCAGATCCTCTCATGGTGCTCAGTCCTGCCTGGAGATTTCTCGTGGGTTCTGGCATGGGAACTTTTGCCAGGGCAAGCACAAGCAGCTGCTGACACTGGCTGAGCATTGCTTGCTGTGGAGCCTCTGGGATGTTCAGGGACTCCGTGGTGGGACCTGTGAGGTGCTGATCCCTCAGCTGGGGGACAGCAGGAGCAGCTTGAGGCTATGGCTTCCTGCAAAAATATAAACATCTCAACACCCCGGGTGGTTTGAAGGGTGCTGGTTTCACCTGCTGCTGAAGGGCAAGAGCCAGGGGGGAATGGCCTGGGGAGTCAGACGAGGAAGGAGCTCTCTGGGGTCCCTGGAGCTACGTGCAGGCACTAGCAAAGCTATTGAGCTGCTGTGGAATATTGGTTCTTGCAGAAGTTTGTGTTCAGAGCTTTGATGTTTCTGTGTTTATTCAAACGTAACTGGGTTTGCTGACTGGGACAGCTGCCTCCTCCTCCCTCCCTGGGGGAGTGTGGGGCTCTCCCCAGTCCCATGCAGCAATCCTTTGCTGGGATCGGTAAGTGCAAATCCACAGGGCCTGATACTATTGCTGGGAAAGGTGGTTATGCTGGAGGACTCGGGCAAACCAGGCCTGAAGCTTGGCTGCAGGCTGGGATGAGTTGGGAACATGGTCCTCTGGAGGAATGGCCAAGTCCATGGTGGGAGGGGAGAAGCTACAGATGAGGAATTTCAGTGTGAGCTCCGAAAGCCTCAACCTTTCTGAATGCAAGAGGTGCATTCTGAGCCTGCAGCAGACGTGTCCCAATTCACGAGCATCACTGCTGGTGCTCAGGGGAGTCTGGCAGCCATCGTGCTGGAGTCAGGCATATGGAATGCTGCTGTCAGGATGTGCCTCTGCCTCTCCTGAGTCTCCTCCTTGCCCTTCTCTTGGGGGTGAGGGGCTGTGCAGCTGTGAGTTCTCCTGGCTTATCCAAGGAGCCCTCCTAGGGTCCCTCTCCCTGCGTGTGGGGCTGAGAGGCAGATGGGCACAATGCTGGGAAGGTTCCTGTCGCAGTGGTGCCTGCGCTCCCCTCAGCTAAGACCACAGCCCAGGGAGAAACAGTCCATTCCCTGATGGCCCTCATCTTCTTGGTGTTTCCAAAAACAGTTCCTTCACCAGGAAAGGAAGGTAAAATGTCCAAGTCCCCTAAAACAGCTGCATCTCTGGGCTTAGTTGAGTTCCTAGCCAGCTGTTAACTTACTTACATATGAAATGTATTTGTGATACCTCTAATCCACCTGGGGAACTGAGCTCTGTAAGAGACTCTGTATCTCAGCCCAGGACACGTGTGCGCTATGGGGTCATGCCGCAGTCCCCATCCCAGCAGCAGGGACAAAGGACTGGGATGGATGGGATGTGCTGTCTGAGCAGCCCCATTGCCCAGCAGTGGACAGAGAAGCCCTCAGTGCCATGGGGTGCCTGCAGCACCCCTGTCACACCTCACCCTGCCTTCTCAACCCTGGCACCTTGCAAACAGGGCAGGATGTGGCCCTACCACCCCCAGCCTGG